CGTAACTTTTATCTTTTAACCTATTTTTATTGAAACACATATATATATACGAAATCGTAAATCTATAAATAGAATCGATTTGCAAACATATCCCGGTTTACAAAGTGGTCCGTTGATCAAGTCACATTGATGACCGTTCAACTTTTTGTCCGTCATACTTTCCTTAAACTATCAACAGAATTAGTGTGTTAGATTTTTGTTAAAGTGTTTCTGGTCTGATTTATTAGACGTTGCTTTTCCGATAAAAATACATCAATAAAACCTTTCGTGGTATTTCAGTGCCCTTTTTAGTTGAGGTAGAGTTCACTTAACTTAGGGCTTAAGTTAAATTGTTTGTAAGAAAGTCGAATAATATTTTATTACCTGCACGCGGATATGAAAAGTATACGTATTATCACGCTTATGTTGATAGGATAGCATTGAACTCTAGTCAAGATTTGAGATTTGCTAAGAAAGGAAATTTGGTAAACATTTGTGATGACAAGTTACAGAACATAGAATATAAAACGTACTTACAGCATAACATATTTTGCAGCATCCACACTTTTCTGTATAGCTACCCGTATTTTTCTCCTCAAATGAGCCTGAGTAAAAAGCGCAGGCCTTTGATTGGAACGTCGTCCATCTTAATCTAAAACAATAAGATATTTCAAACAAATAATCTCCACTACAAAACAATACAATAATTTATTCATTTATTTCTACACTTGTGTCTGGATTTTTTAAGGATGTTTATTTAACTTATATGTAAAGGAGTTTATAACAATTTTAGAGTGATGAGTTCACGTCCACCAAAGTGCACACAGCCTTGTGACAGAATTCGATGTATAAATCCAGACTCCTGTCCTTGTTAGATTCATATTAAAAATCCCACCATTACCAATCAAATACAATATAAGTGTTCTCAAAATCAAACATAGCGCAAAAGATTACGTTTATTCTAAGATCTTATGCTAAATATATGAAAATATTTTTTATTTTATTTTAGAGGCAATTATACTATTATAATATGTTAAAATAATTTAATTGTAATATTAGTATTTCAGTCAAATTATTTAGACTTAACACGCTTGGTCTCCAAGAAATAAGTAATTTCTTAAGCATATGCTATGGGAAGAAGAGCTATTAAGTTCCGAATTTTATTTCCAACAATTATGCTTTGAAATTAAATATCATTACTAAATCGTTATTATTTTATTCCGGTCTCTCAAAGGTAAGATTGGGGATTTAAAACGTTAATACTCGGAGTTCAATCTTCATGGTAGGCATGTTGCAGATAACCCATTACACACCTTTGTTTTTATATAAATAGATTGTTATTGAACTAAATTAATGTAGCAATTTTAACATACCCATAAACCAAGACGGAGAGGGTCACGATTACAAATATCAGCTTCATTTTGCTTGAATACCTGTAAAAAAACGTAATCGTTGATGTTTTATTTTCTAGAAACTGAAATTTGAGACTTAGATCATGAAACGTCCTTCTATTATTTATTAAATTATCTATATATAATCAATATTTATTGTTTTTAATTAGTTTACGTTACAGCCCATTTTAAATTAAAAACCGGTTTTTAGTTCCGTTCATCTATTTACTGTAAATATAAGTTTTCATTAGTTGAGATACTTTGTGAACTAAGAATACTTACAGAATATCACACTCTTCGCTTCTATTGCGATTTATGTAGAAGTTGAGACGTAAAAACTTGAAATTCTTGTTCACTCTACAATCTAAGAATGTGGCTAAATATATACTCTTCAAGATAATGTATGCGATGGGTTGATATTTGCACGTGATCTCAAAATTAGGGTATCCTTACTCACCATCTTTCTGATTGGTTGTTTTCGATAGGGTAGAAATATTTCCATTGGTTAAAAAACAAGAAACATACACGAATAACGATGATTGTCTAGATGCTTAACTTTTACGAAAATATAAATGTGTTTAGCACATTTCGAGATAACTGAAATGGGAAACAACGCTATTATTAATATGTAATAGGTGTTAATGCCAGTTTATAAAAATAGATCACCCATGTTTGTAAGCAGATAACCTTAGATGTCACACAGACAAGTAATATGAAGCAAGTAGAAATAAAAAACTTTAATTTTTGTTCTGTGTAGTTTAGATTTACTACTTTATTAAACATATATTAAATATTATTTTATATTCGTTAAATCTGTTGTAAAATATTTCATTCTGAATTATACTGATTTAAAAGCCTTTTGTTTTTGTTTCTTTTCATGGCTTAAAGAGAGAGAGAGATCATTTCAAAAGTTTATTGCGCACGAAATGTCATTACTTTTATCTTTAATTATGAATACCTTTTGGGAAAAGCAATTTAACAACGTAGAAATAAATTAGCTAAATCTATTTAACGGGGTAACTGGGAATGTGTAAGTATGTTATGTAGTAAAACAATTCACAAGTCAGTATTTGAGTACTCACACTGTTACCGATATTCTCAGCTACAATCAGAATAACATGTTACGAGATTTCGACAAGCTTAGGATGTTTAATCCACAGACTAAGTTAATAATCTTGGTAAGTGTAAAATTGAGTACATAAATAATGTATGTATATTGCATTATAACAAAAAATAAAAAAATAGATCCAAAGACACTTAGTGTTGTTCTAAATTTGATTAACATCTGATAAAAACTTATCGGGTTATGATGTTCACAAGCATACACTCAGGAATGAAATGTTACCCTCGCCGTCGGGAAGGGTAATTAATACTGTATCATTTTGTTAAAAATATTAATTCTATCACAGTAGTTTAGCAAAAATGAATCAAGCTGATAATTTTGTAGTCCAGCTTTGAAAGAGTATAACACAAATTTAGATATATCATATGTAAAACTTTGAAGTGAACATCATTAGATATGTAAGGACGTAAAGAAGTTAATGTATTACAGATACGTTTTCTTTTCCATACCCTTTTAATTCGTAATGCTATTTTCACAGACCTCTAACTTGAATTTCAAACTATACGATATTAATAATCTCTACTTGTCTTTAAGAAATTTACAGTTCTTTTTGTTATACTTCTACATATATATATACTTCTACGACAAATTTAATTTTGAATTTATACGACAAGTATATCATTTTAAAATAAATATGAGTTTTTATTTTTATATTCTGAGATTGTTAACGTGGGTAAAATTAATAAATATACAATAAATAAGTAAAGTCGAAATTTTTATTTTTTTGTCAAGCATTTGACTACTTTACTGTAGCCTCATTCAGGCCCTGAACGATTACAAGTTAAAAAAACAGAAATGTGGAGTTTACCAGTCTATTGTGTTTCATATGCTTTCCTACTATTTAATCCTGTCCCATCCATGTAAGTAGTTTATGTTATTTGTATTATATATAATCTTTAAGCACGTTGGCACAATCCCGAGACATTTCTGGAGATCTTGTTTGTAGTAAAGCATAAAGCTGCAGAATGGGCAATCTGTGCTCTGCCCACCACTGGCATCGAAACCCGGTTTTTAAACGTTGTAAGTCTGAAGACATGCCTTTGTGCCTCAGGAGGCAAACGAGTTTGGTATAAATAAATAAAGAATGCGTTCTGAACAGGGGTACCCATCATTGCTT